CCAGGAAGCAGCAGAGCCTTCCCATGGTGCATCGCCTTAGTGAAGCTCCCAATAGGGCATGTTTTCCCTGTCTGACCCATGCCTCCTTCATTACATCACTGTCATTGTTTTTGTTCCAAACACACACACACTATATTGCCAAAGGTATTGAGATACCCCTCCAAATCATTTGATTCATGTGTTCCAATCACCTCCATGGCCCAGGTGTATAAAATCAAGCACCTAGGCATGCAGACTGCTTCTACACACATTTGTGAAAGAATGGGTCGCTCTCAGGAGCTCAGTGAATTCAAGCGTGGTACTGTGATAGGTTGCCACCTGTGCAATAAGTCCATTCATGAAATTTTCCTGCTACTAAATATTCCACAGTCAACTGTTAGGGGTATTATAACAAAGTGGAAGCAACTGGGAACAACAGCAACTCAGCCACAAAGTAGAAGGCCTCGTAACATAACAGAGCGGGGTCAGCGCAAGCTGAAGTGCACTGTGCGCAGAAGTCACCAACTATCTGAAGAGTCAATAGCTAAAGACCTCCAAACTTCATGTGGCCTTCAGATTAGCACAACAACAGTGCGTAGAGAGCTTCATGGAATGGGTTTCCATGGCTGTGCAGCTGCATCCACCCCTTACATCACCAAGTGCAATGCAAAGTTTCGGATGCAGTGGTTTTAAAGCACGCCACCACTGGACTAGAGCAGTGGAGACGTGTTCTGTGGCCGCCACTGGACTAGAGCAGTGGAGACGTGTTCTGTGGAGTGACTAAGCATGCTTCTCTGTCTGGCAATCCGATGGACGTGTCTGGGTTTGGTGGTTGCCAGGAGAATGGTACTTGCCTGACTGCATTACTGCCGAGTGTAAGGTATGGTGGAGGGGGGCTTAAGGTGTGGGGTTGTTTCTTCAGGGGTTGGGCTTGGCCCCTTAGTTCCAGTGAAGGAAACTCTTAAGGAATCAGCATACCAAGACATTTTGGACAATTTCATGCTCCCAACTTTGTGGGAACAGTTTGGGGATGGCCCATTCCTGTTCCAACATGACTGCGCACCAGTGCACAAAGCAAGATCCATAAAGACATGAATGAGCAAGTTGGGGTGGAGGAACTTGACTGGCCTGCACAGAGTCCTGACCTCAACCCGATAGAATACCTTTGGGGTGAATTAGAGTGGAGACTGCGAGTCAGGCTTTCTCGTCTGACATCAGTGCCTGACCTCACAAATGCTCTTCTGGAAGAATGGTCAAACATTCCCATAGACACACTCCTAAACCTTGTGGACAGCCTTCCCAGAAGAGTTTGAGCTGTTATAGCAGCAAAGGGTGGGCCAATTCAATATTGAACCCTACGGACTAAGGCTGGGATGCGATTAAAGTTCGTGTGTGTGTAAAGGCAGGCATTCCAATACTTTTGACAGTATAGTGCAGTGATGGCGAACCTTTTTGAGCCCGAGTGCCCAAACTGCAACCCAAAACCAACTTATTTCTTTCAAAGTGCCAACACTGCAATGAAACCTGAATATCGAGCTTTTGGTTTAGAAAAAACAACTCGTACAGTAGTGCAAACTAATTAACAGTACAGGGATGACCAGAGACTGCGGACACAGTACAGGGATGACCAGAGACTGCGGACACAGTACATGGATGACCAGAGACTGCGGACACAGTACAGGGATGACCAGAGACTGCGGACACAGTACAGGGATGACCAGAGACTGCGGACACAGTACAGGGATGACCAGAGACTGTGGACACAGTACAGGGATGACCAGAGACTGCGGACACAGTACAGGAGATGACCAGAGACTGCGGACAGTACAGGGATGACCAGAGACTGCGGACACAGTACAGGAGATGACCAGAGACTGCGGACACAGTACAGGGATGACCAGAGACTGCGGACACAGTACAGGATGACCAGAGACTGCGGACAGTACAGGATGACCAGAGACTGCGGACAGTACAGGAGATGACCAGAGACTGCGGACACAGTACAGGAGATGACCAGAGACTGCGGACACAGTACAGGAGATGACCAGAGACTGCGAACAGTACAGGAGATGACCAGAGACTGCGGACAGTACAGGAGATGACCAGAGACTGCGGACAGTACAGGGATGACCAGAGACTGCGGACACAGTACAGAGACTGCGGACAGTACAGGGATGACCAGAGACTGCGCGGACAGTACAGGGATGACCAGAGACTGCGGACAGTACAGGGATGACCAGAGACTGCGGACACAGTACAGGAGATGACCAGAGACTGCGGACACAGTACAGGGATGACCAGTGACTGCGGACAGTACAGGGATGACCAGAGACTGCGGAAAGTACAGGAGATGACCAGAGACTGCGGACAGTACAGGGATGACCAGAGACTGCGAACATAGTACAGGGATGACCAGTGACTGCGGACAGTACAGGGATGACCAGAGACTGCGGACAGTACAGGGATGACCAGAGACTGCGGACACAGTACAGGGATGACCAGAGACTGCGGACAGTACAGGGATGACCAGAGACTGCGGACACAGTACAGGGATGACCAGAGACTGCGGACACAGTACAGGGATGACCAGAGACTGCGGACACAGTACAGGAGATGACCAGAGACTGCGGACACAGTACAGGATGATGACCAGAGACTGCGGACAGCACAGGGATGACCAGAGACTGCGGACACAGTACAGGGATGACCAGAGACTGCGGACAGCACAGGGATGACCAGAGACTGCGGACAGTACAGAGATGACCAGAGACTGCGGACAGTACAGGGGATGACCAGAGACTGCGGACAGCACAGGGATGACCAGAGACTGCGGACAGCACAGGGATGACCAGAGACTGCGGACAGCACAGGGATGACCAGAGACTGCGGACAGTACAGAGATGACTGCTGACCTTTGGGGAGGGAGGGGGAGCGGGTACCTGAATTTGACAGGTACCCGCTCTTACTTCCGCAGAGTTTTTTTTTTATCTTACCTGTTCCTTTATCCAGCCGCGCGCTGTCTTCCCGGCTTCTGTAGTGTGGGCACTCGTCGGACAGCCGGATGCCCAGTGCGCATGCGCGAGAAGCGCTGCGCTTTGTGATTGGTCCGGCGGCTTCTGGGATCTGTCATGTGTCCCAGGTACCACCTTACCATTCACAAAGAGCACTGCTTCTTGTGCATGCGCACTTGGGACCCGGCTGTCACGCACACTACAGCCGGGAAGACAGCGTGCCGCTGGATTCTCCTGGCGTGCCCACAGATAAGGCTCGGCGTGCCGGCTGTGGCACGCGTGCCACGGGTTCGCCATCACTGGTATAGTGTATATAGAATGTATTAATTTATGAATAGATTCATAAATATTCTGGAGTCAAAAAACATAAACTAAATACGTATACACAGAGTAGTTCACTTTAATGTTTGCTGTATACCCAACTCCATGATACCCCTGTTTCACATATTGTAACAACACCCACATAAACTCTGCACAATTATTCAGCCATGCACAATTATTTTATATATATTTTGCTCCTTGGCAGCCATACATTATTGTATTGTTTCTACACACTTTCTCAACAACAGGGGCATGCACAACCAACCAGTGAGAAGAAAGGAGAGACAGGACAAAAGCGATAGACCAAAATCTATGTACTCTGTCATAATAATGCTGTGTCCCACTTTCACAGCTTCACCCTCATTGAAGTTACTAAGCATGCTCAGTATGTGCTTTAGGTATTACTGAGAGGACTGCAGCTGTGAGGGGGTGGTTACTATATAATTAGAGGCAGGAGCACCCAGAAAGTGTGTGGAACTTTTGGAAAGAAGGTGTGATGTATTTGGGTCATGGGAAGGTATGCCTGTGTCCTGGGGACTAGGCTGGAGGCAAGTATGTAATGGCTTCAGTTGTGCTGAAAAACAATGAACTAACTCTTTAAAGCCAGCAAAGAGTCAACTTGTTCACTGGCCATAAACTGATCAAAACGTGGCTGATCCCGCAAGAAGCGGATGAATTTTGATCAATGTTTGGCCACTCCCTGCTTGACAGAAGTCAGTTTTCCAATCAACTTCGTAGTAGGAACCCAGTTTGAAAATTATTGGATGAACAGTGGCTGCAGTCAATCAGATGCAGCAGTTGCTCCTCTCTGAATACAATAGCCTGGTGAGGGGGGATTCCTCGATCCACACCGTTAGCGTGGCTGGAAAATTCTGTTTGATTGATTTTTTTCTTTTAGGCTGTTGGCTGAACAAAAATAATCTATCAATGTTTTGGCCAGCTGAATGCGATTCTTAAGGTTGGAAGGTTGGAATTTAAAAAAAAAATAACAAAAATAAATACCTGCTCTGTGAAATGGTTTTGAAAAGTGCTGCCCCGATCCTTTTCTTTTGGGTTCCCTGCTGGCGCTCCTGGCTCCCCCTCTCCCCGCTGAGTGTCCCCAATAGCAAGCTTTTTGAGCAGTGTCCATTCACACACAGAGCATTGCTCAGCCCACCCCCTGCCCTCTCCTCATTGGCTCAGTGGCTGTGGTTGACAGCAGCAAGAGCCAGTGACACCCACTGCTGTGTTAGCCATTGAGGAGAGAGAGACCTAGGAGAGCCATGGCTCTCATGCACATCGTTGGAACAAGATGGGGCTCAGGTAAGTATAAGGGGAGCTGAGGGGGAACCTGCAGCCAGAAGGTTTTTTACTCTAATGCATAGAATCTTCTTTTTAGAACCACTTTAAGCTAAGTGAAACTTCACTTTGACAAATTAATCTACTCGGCTTCTTTACTATATAACTCCCACTATTTACTTTTTTTATATTGTGCATGAATGACTACCTTTAGTCACCAATATCCATATTACATCTGTACTGAGGAGTTTGCACAAAGTGTACTATATATTGAATTGAAAACTAATATATATTTTAGTGAGAAAAATGAAGAGGATGCACAGGCACTATCCACGGAGGAGGACAGTGAAGAAGAAGAAGAAGAAGAAGAAGAAGAAGTAGAAGAAGAGGAAGAAGAGTAAGAGAAGTAGAAGAAGAAGAAGAAGAAGAAGAAGAGAAGAAACTTTGGAGAATATTTGTCAGAATGGTGAAATCAACAATGAGCTAAGCTGTAACAGTAAGAGGAGAGTAACTGATGAAGAGCACACTAAAGAAGACAACAAAAAAAGCAAACTAGACACAGAGAATATCACCACTTTCAAGCACACTGAAGAAAAAACACAAGGTCTGATCATTAATGAACAGACACAGACAAGCCAAAGTGCTGAAGATAAAAAACAAACCACGTTAAAGAAAGAAGATCTGATATTGGTTCTTGGTAAGAAACCGTGTTTAGTGCAGAACATGTCTGTGATGCCCTACATAACCTTTATCCTGGAACCAGTGCAAAGCAGAGGCGCAAGGCTTATACTCATTGTACTTGCAGTCGTCGCTAATGCTTAGCTTCTGGTGGATTGCTCTGCTTCCAGCAGTGTTAATGTCCCTATAGCAGGGCTTTAAAGACTATAAATTTGATTACTATAATTTATACTGTTGTACAATTTACATACAGTATGTAAGAAATGAGAAAAGCAAAGTATAAAAACAATGTTAATGCTGAAGCCTTAGCCCTGCTATATTGGAACTGTTACATGAAAAGCTGTTTCCTACACAATACCATTAACACACGTGAAAGATTTATTTGTATCTGAGTTTTGGTTTTATAGTAAATACTTATAAAACAATTGTTTTTATTTCCTTTTGAATACTTATAATAAGAATATAGCCAAACAGTGTCTCATTACTAGATAGTAAAAAATAAAATCCAAAGACATTCCCAATCCTGTCTGCAAAACAAGCTTCATACAATAACGGTACACCTGAAGTGCACAAAAGACTGACTAATGCAGGCCATAGACAGGGAGAAAACCGGCCGAAAATTCGTCCATAAAAAATAATCGGCCGATTTTCGGATCGTTAGTGGCTGAATTGGTTAGCCGGTTTTCTTAATTTTGACACATTTTTTTAATCGTTCATGTTGGGAAAAATAATGGTCAATTTTGCCCATCGGCTGATTTTCACGGCAATGATGGGCAAATCGGACGATATTTTTCCCGATTAAAAAAATGCGCATGAGCCGTGACCAAAGAAAAAGAAGAAGGACATCTGTATCTATTTGTATCCATACAAATAGATACAATGTTTGCAACCGTAATACTTAGAAATGTCAAATCTATTAGCAGAGAGCTCCGCTATGATATTTCACATTTAAAAGTATAAGGGTTGCAACATTGTATCTATTTGTATGGATAAAATAGATACAGATGTCCTTCTTCTTTTTCTTTGGTCACGGCTCATGCGCATTTTTTTTAATTTGGTTAAAATATCGTCCGATTTGCCCATCATTGCCGTGAAAATCAGCCGATGGGCAAAATTGACCATTATTTTCCCCAACATGAACGATTAAAAAAATGTGTCAAAATCAAGAAAACCGGCCGACCAATTCAGCCACTAACGATCCGAAAATCGGCCGATTATTTTTGTATCCGAATAGAAACATCTGTATCTGAAATGGATACAAAGTTGCAACTTTTTCTTATTATTATTCATATTCTATTTCTTCTTCTTTTAAATGTCAAATATAGCGGAGCTCTCTGCAGGGACACAGCTATTATATTAATTGCTGGCCGTAGACGGGACAAAAATCAGCCGACTTTTTTTTTTTCCAATGGTGGTAACGTTGGCTGATTGAACGACCGATTTTTCGTTTTTCTAAAAAAAAAAACGGCCGGTTTTTCTCCCTATCTATGGCTTGCATAAGGCTGGCCATACACTATACAATTTTCTTACAATTTTCTGTCCAATTTCTGCCCAATTTCCTTTAGATTTACCTTCAACTATGTAGTGCAAGGGCCTGCCTAATTGGATATAATTGAAAGTGTTGTTTAGGTTTGACCTCATATTATATGATTTTTGGTAAATCTAAAGCAAAATTCTCAAGCAAATTGTGTAGTATATGGCCAGCCTTAGTTTTCCTGTAATTTAAACAACAGGTTAAGGCAATTTCAGCAGCCGCTACTGAAAGATTATGACAAAGAATACATTTGGAATCTGTATATAAAAAATTCATTTATCCAGCGAATCTGTACATTTTTCTGTGTGAAATTTACAGAAATGAATGTTCTTTAAGCTACTTTTTATGTTCTTTTATTATGGGCAGTAGTAGAAAAAAAACGCATTATGGCCACTATATGGAGCTGAGGAGCATGGGAAATAAGACTTTGTAACAAGAGATACAATTTAACAAATCTAAAGAACACTAGAGGGCTACAATTCTAGAGGGTTACAATGGTCACATTTACTTGCTTATTCCCTCTAGGTTTCTCTAGAATAGTATAACTAAAGCTGTTTCTATGTAGCTATACAATGTATAAGATTACACTGTATTGCTTTTGGGTTTATAATTTTTTGTACTTTTTTGTGTTTTTTTTTGTGTAGCTAGAGGTGCTCGGGGTGCTTAAAGTGCAGCATTGACTTGTTGCTGAATTGTTCTTGGAGCTGCTTTTGGTATGCAGCACACCGCTGCATTGTTGTGCAAAAACATTTTTGCACCAAACCCAACCTAACTCACTCACATTTACATTATTGAACATCGCCATAATAAAAATAAAATACACCTCCCCAACAAATGACAACGACAGGCAGATCCAAAAGCAGAAGCAGGGGATCTGTGTGCGGATGCAGCTATTTGTAAGCAGCATATCTGAACTGTTTTTTTAAAATGGCAGACAGTGGAGGCAATTCCAGGAAGGCATGCTGTATGATCACCTAGAAGTGAGATGAATGAATCAAGCAGCATTGTTTAGGATTAAATGGATATCATGTTTATCCATTGACCACAAATAAGGAAAAAAAAAAAAAGGATAAGGGATGAGTGGAGTGACTTCCGGAAAATTTCTGATTTTGACAAAATGTTGTCCAAATAAGCCTCAAATTTTTTTTTTTTTGCATAAAAATATGTGTTTTCCCACAAAAAACAGAATGGATTGAAAAATAAGAATTAAAAAAATAAAGTGGCATTACACCACTATTAAAATGTCAAGGAAATACACAATATAAAAAAAGGAAAAAAAAAAACCTTATTTTCTGCAGCCATTTCAGAGTTTTGCAATTTGGGAAATTCTGGTATGCTAGTCAAAATAGTTTTTTTTTTTCCTGTTAAAGTCCAAAAGTGTATTGGAACATGAAAGTAATATGTCCTCATACTATCCACTCCTGCTTTCCTATGGCTCATCAATAGGCAGATTGGCCACAAATAAACACTCAAATCTGGGTCATACCAAACAGTTCCCTATCTGCCTTGAACAGCTATGTATATGGCATTCTATTTGGGAAGTTTTAGCTTAATTGGTAATTGTAAATTTGCATTAGAATTTTGCAGTGTGCATTATCCAATCCACCAGATATGACATCATATTTATTTAATCACACTTTATTTGATAAACGTTTTGCTAAATTTGTTAACTATTTGCCTACAGGGCACTTTCACCCCCAGGCCAATTTTCAGCTTTCAGTGCTGTCGCACTTTGAATGACTATTGTGTGGTCATGCAACACTACCCATTTGACATTTTTTAATTTTTTTGAGACAGATAGAGCTTTCTTTTGGTGGCATTTACTCACCACTGGGTTTTTTTATTTTTTGCTAAACAAAGGAAAAAAGACCAAAAATTTTGAAAAAAATAAAAAATTTTTCTTAGTTTCTGTTATAAAAAATTTGCAAACAGGTAATTTTTCTCCTTCACTGATGTGCGCTGATGAGGCTGCATTGATGGACACTGATATGCAGCACTCATAGGCTGCACTGATGGGTACTGATGAAGCGGCACTGATGATGCTGCACTGATAAGCAGAACTGATGGACACTGACTAGGAGGCACCGATGAGGCTGCATGGATATTCAACACTGATGGGCACTGATAGGTGGCACTGAAGGTCACTAAGAGACAGCACAGACTGATGGCACTGATGGGCACTGACTGGCTGCACTGACAGACACTGACTGGCGACACTGATGGACACTGACTGGCAGCATTGATGGACACTGTTGGGACTGCACTGATGGACACTTCTGGGACTGCACTGATGGACACTGTTGGGGCTGCACTGATGTCTCTTTGGGATGCACTGATCTCCTCTGATGTGAGAATACACTTGCTGATTACCTGCTCTACTCTCTCCTCACACTGTAACACACAGCTGATCATATGGTAAAAGAGCACTGTGATTGGCCCTTTACCATGTTATGTGATCAGCTGTGCCCAAAGGACACAGCGATCACAGAGCTTGCTGGGTGCACACCCCAGGGGGCATGCGGGAGGCGTGGTTCTGGAGGAAGTCTGGAATACTAGAAAATGTAGTATTAAAAAGAAATGTAGTGAATGCACAAAACATAAACTAAACACTGTATATAGCGCTTTCTAAAATATTCTTAGTATCTACATGACAACCACAAAGTAGTCATGATTCTAAATATTTAGAGAAGTCAAAACAACATAAAAGATAACCATCAACTTTGATAAACAGTAGTAATGAAATGTTATTGTTAGATATGCATGCACACCTGTTCACACATAAACCACCAGTAAATGCAAACATGCATGCACGTCAGGGGCGGACTGACCATTTGGAAACTCGGGCACTGCCCGGGGTCAGTAGGGGGCCCCATGAGATGCCCCTAGTACCTTTTTCATAGGCTTATTTGAGTTTGGGCAAGGACACAGGGGCCCCACGATCCCCTATTGTCCAGGGGCCCCATGAGTTGTCAGTCTGCCCCTGATGCACCTACACAAACACTGGCACTCTCGCACATAAGCAAGCAAGTACATGTGCACACACAGTTGTTCAATCACTAACACCTTTACTATGCATGCATCCACACCTTCACACACCCTTGCACTTAGGGCCTATTCACATTAAACTGGAGTTTAACTTGCTTTTTGTTTGCTGCACCATTCTGTGTTGTAGTGAGAACAGATCACATATCAAACAATTGTTTTCTGTGTGCTCTAGCTGTGACTGGTGTTTTTCCAGTGCAAAAAAAAAAAAAAAAACCAGTCACTGCTCTAGTGTGAACAGGCCCTTACACACAAGTATGTACCTGCTCCAGCACTAGCATCCTCACACACACATACAGAAACATATATACAGTACATGCACACAAGTGCACATACACACACACATGCATATGTGCACACACAAGCACCCTGGCATTCACCTGCACACTTCTCTTGGTAGGATGAACTGATAATATGCCATCTACATGAAAAAGGGCTTTTAT